AAAAAAAAAAAAAAGGCAGATAGAACACTTCAATATAGAAGAATTCAGAGCTTATCCCCCAACCCCACAAAAAAATGTTTTTTCTTGAATGAAAGCAAACTTGCACATTCTTTCTGTAAAAATAGTTACACAAGAATAAGAAAGCTGTATGTTCCCCATTAACCCCAGTCAAGATTTGTATTGAAATAATAATTAAAAAAAAAACTAAAACACCAAGTTAACATGCCAAATACTATTGCCTCACATCAGCAGTTGTCATTTCTTTTTCAATGAATGAAGACAATGATTCAGTGGAAGACCATTCGCGCGTGTGATTTTGTTATGACTCATTAGTGTAACATCAACAATCCTCCCATTCAAATACAAACAGCTCAGCCAGTTCCTTTAATACATTAAATATGGGTTATATTCCTGAAAAACCTGAACCTCATTTTGGAATTGTTAAATGTTTGTAATTAATTTTGTTTGGACTGTAGCTCCATGCCATTGATGTCTGACATTGTTAGTGACAGAATCACCAGATCAGGAACATGAAGCAGGTTTGTTCCACTACCGGTGGTGTGACACTTGTTAAGCAGAATGTTAAAGGACCACTATAGGCACCCAGACCACTTCAGCTTAATGAAGTGGTCTGGGTGCCTGGTCCATCTAGGATTAACCCTTTTTTCTATAAACATAGAGAAACTGCTATGTTTATGTTAGGGTTAATCCAGCCTCTAGTGGCTGTCTCATTGACAGCCGCTAGAGGGCTTCCGCGTTTCTCACTGTGAAAATTACAGTGAGAAGATGCCAGCGTCAATATGGCATTCAGCCGAAGAGGAGGAGAGGAGGCAGAGAGGAGGAGGAGAGCTCCCCGCCCAGCGCTGGAGAAAGAGGTACGTTTAACCCATTCCTCCCCCTAGAGCCCGGCGGGAGGGGGACCCTGAGGGTGTGGGCACCCTCAGGGCACTATAGTGCCAGGAAAACAAGTGTTTTCCTGGCACTATAGTGGTCCTTTAAGGAACAGTCTCACAATTACCGGAGATAGAGCACACAAACAACTGAAAATATTAAGGGTGAAATGTAGTTTGGCGTTCAGGACACTCATGCAGGTTGTTAACCAGCAGTTTATTGAACAGAAAGCTCTTCTTAAAGCTACATTTACCTGGGAGATATATTGACTTCTAGAACCCACGGCTTGAGGTTCTCATCCAGCATTATATCGAACCCGAAGAGTTCATGGCAGCTGTATGGCTTCTGCACGTACATCTTCACCAAGCTGTTTACGTAGGGCTCCGAACTAAGCAAGAAAAACAAAACAACTCATATTGAAGTCAACAAAAAGACAAATTGCACACAAGGATTAGGCATTATCAGCACGCAGAGAGCGGTTGAGAGTAGTTGGGTGGGAAAGAGACATTTAAAACGGTTTGATCCAATGTGTGAATTTTGACCAGACAGCCCGGGCACATTCTGCACCTATGGTAAGCTACACAGTTAAGAGGTATTTGTGCTCCTCTTTTGCAGGACTGGAAACTCTATAAAGTTTAATGACAATCTGCAGCAGTCATGTAGGAGAAGGCAGAAGCAATCTTCAGATGGGAATCAATGTAATTCTTTGCGATTTAGCTAGAACTGTGTATGAATTAAACTTGTATTTCTACCTAAAACTGGCCATGCTATGCAATGCGCATATTAATGAATGACTAATTTCAATTCCATAAAAACAGGAGTGTTTTGTTTTTTTTAAAACTTTCTTTTCTCAATCCCATCTTAAACCAAACATGACAAAAAGGCACACTATAAACACCAGATCAACTACAGCTTAATGTAGTTGTTCTGGTGAGTATACTCTGTCCCTGCAGGCATTTTGCAGTAGATACTGTCTTTTCAGAGAAAATGCAGTATTTACATTACAGCCTAGGAAGACCTCCACTGGCCTCTCAGATGGCTACCAAAGGTGCTTCCTGGGCCAGGGATGCACAGTGTACAACACTATCATTCAGTGTCTCCACCCTCTGCATGGAGACACTTAACTTTCCTCATAGAGATGCATTTATTCATTTCTATGAGGAGATGCTGATTGGCCAGGGCAGCGTTTGACTGTGCCCCGGGAATGCCTCCTTGGCAATCTCAGCCAATCCAATGCTTTCCTATGGGAATTCATCACTTCTGATGATGTCAGTTAAGGAGGCAGATCGGGGCAGAGCCAGCATCAGTAGACTGTAAAAAGGTAAGATTTTACTATATTTAAATAAAAAACATTTACGATAATCTAGGCAACACCTCAATGCACCTTAGTGTACACTAGCCCTGTGCTGTAGAACATGTGACCATGCTAGTTCACAGTAACCCACTGATAACGTGAAGCGCATTACACAGGGATGGGAAGTCCATGCCAAGCTTACTGCCCAATTAGACTCACGCAATAACTGTCTTTATCACCATGTCTTTGATCTTCTCCCAGATTTTATCACTACTGAAACCATGCTGGTTGAGGTAACTCCACAATGCCTTCAGTGCCCTACGGAAAGAGGGGTTTGATGTTATTAATGTACGGTGCCTTATATTGCCAACACGTGTCTTTCTGGAGCTTTAAATGAACAGCCTGTTAGAAAGAACGTAGATCCAACTGTAATCTGAGAATATGAGGACAAGAAGCACAATTTATAAGACAAGTCAAAAGTCACGAACCCACAAAAGATCTGGAAGAGTCTAAATCTTAGAATATCATCGTTATTATAGACCAAAAAAAACACCTATGGCCTGTTTTGCCTTATATTACACCAATTCTTTGCTCCATTACAAAAAGGTAATGGCAAGACTATACATCTTAACTGTCACACAAATCTGGGTTGTTTACTTGGACTTTCAAGTTGTCCTGTATACACCGCGCTAGTAAATAACTATCAAATATACAGCAAATATTTATACCACCGTTAAATTTGTATCGTGGATTCTTCCCATACTTTCCCTCTCAAAGAAAATGCCTTTGCACAATATGTAGTATGTACCAACATGCTCAGCCTGGAGAAAGTATATCATACACACATACATACATACACACACACACTGAGCAAAATTATAAACACAACACTTGTTTTTGCCCCCATTTTTCATAAACTGACCTCAAAGTTCTAAGACTTTTTCTATGTACACAAAAAGCCTATTTCTCTCAAATATTGTTCACAAATCTGTCTAAATCTGTGTTAGTGAGCACTTCTCCTTTGCCGAGATAATCCATCCACCTCACAGGTGTGGCATATCAAGATGCTGATTAGACAGCATGATTATTGCACAGGTGTGCCTTAGGCTGGCCACAATTAAAGGCCACTCTAAAATGTGCAGTTTTACTGTATTGGGGGTTGAGGGGCGGTTCGAAAATCTGTTCCTTCGCATAGAGTTGATCTTCTTGGCATAGAATTGATCAGGTTGTTGATTGTGGCTTGTGGAATGTTGGTCCACTTCTCTTGAATGGCTGTGCGAAGTTGCTGGATATTGGCAGGACCTGGAACACATTGTCTTATATGCCAATCCAGAGCATCCCAAACATGCTCAATGCATGCAGAGTATGCTCGCCATGCAAGAACAGGGATGTTCTCAGCTTCCATGAATTGTGTACAGATCCTTGCAATATAGGGCCATGCATTATCATGCTGCAACATGAGGTGATGGTTGTCAATGAATGGCACAACAATGGGCCTCAGGATCTCGTCACAAGATCTCTGTGCATTCAAAATGCCATCAATAAAATGCACCTGTGTTCGTTGTCCATAACATACACCTGCCCGTGTGATAAACCCCACTGCCACCATGGGCCACTCTATCACAACGTTGACATCAGCAAACCGCTCACCCACATGACGCCCTACACACTTGTCTGCCATCTGCCCTGCAGTGAAAAATCGGGATTCATCCGTAAAGGGAACACCTCTCCAAAGTGTCAGACGGCATTAAAGGTGAGCATTTGCCCACTCAAGTCGGTTACGATGAACTGCAGTCAGGTCGAGACCCCGATGAGGATAACGAGCATGCAGATGAGCTTCCCTGAGACAGTTTCTGCAGAAATTCTTTGGTTATGCAAACCGATTGTTGCAGCAGCTGTCCAGGTGGCTGGTCTCAGACGTTCTTGAAGGTGAAGATGCTGGATGTGGAGGTCCTGGGTTGGTGTGGGCTGGTTGGATGTACTGCCAAATTCTCTGAAATGCCTTTGGAGATGGCTTATGGTAGAGAAATGAACATTCAATTCATGGGCAACAGCTCTGGTGGGCATTCCTGCAGTCAGCATGCCAATTGCACGCTCCCTCATAATTTGCGACATCTGTGGCATTGTGCTGTGTGGTAAAACTGCACATTTTAGAGTGGCCTTTTATTGTGGCCAGCCTAAGGGACACCTGTGCAGTAATCATGCTGTCTAATCAGAATCTTGATATGCCACACCTGTGAGGTCGATGGATTATCTCGGCAAAGGAGAAGTGCTGACTAACACAGATTTAGACAGATTTGTGAACAATACTTGAGAGAAATAGGCCTTTTGTGTACATAGAAAAAGTCTTAGTTCTTTGAGTTCAGCTCATGAAAAATGGGGGCAAAAACAAAAGTGTTGTGTTTATAATTTTGTTCGGTGTATATATTTCTATATAATATTTTAATTTATTTTTTTGGCTTCTGGTGCAGAGGTTGACTTTCAGGCAGGCTTCCTCCAGGCAGAGCATAACATGGCATATAGATACACACAATAACAATCACTGCATAAAGGAAAGGAGTGTAGATTTTGTTACCATTTGTGCCCCTGGCAAGCAGTTTGGTCGGAGTTGGCCTTGTAGTCGACATTCTTTTTGTTGACACTGTAGTTTGTAAGGTGCATGAATTTATTGCTGAGACTTTTCATAGAGGAAGAATACCTGGACAATGAAAATTCACCAATTTTCAACATGTCATTGAAAGGACTAACTATGGATCAAATAAAATGAAACAATAGTGTATCTACACGACATACTTGCAGCTTGCGAATCTCACCAAACCATCTGAAAATAGATAGATTCTGAGGGGGTCGTAAGAAGTCACGTAAACATAGATCCGAAGATCGAACTTGCTCCCGCTGATGAGATAGGGCTTGTGTAAATACCTGAGGACCAGAAATACATTGAGAGATAGATCTCAGCTCAGGATTAGTTTTGACTAAATTAAACCTGACTATATGTACAGCATCGCCATAATTCCAGGTATTAAAGACAATTTAATGAATAGACTTTCTGTAAAAAGAAGCCGTTTAACACAAATAGTTGGATGTATAAAAGTGATGTAATAACTCTAAGAATGCACATTAATATCCATTATTGATCTATTTAATTGAGTAATATTAAAGGACAGACTTTGTAAAACAAACAAGTAGCTGGTTACCAGGCCCTGTCTGGTTACAACGTAGGTGGTCTTACCTTTGTACCAAAAGCGGCCTCCTCTTAGGAAGTTGGCTCCATTTGTGTATCACTTGAATCCCCATTCCTCTGGCCGACGCTGGCTAAACGCATAAGAAGACATGGTCATTAGTTCAGGTTTATAGCAAACCCTACAAGGCCTGGTACTCAGAGCAATAGACATACAGAGAGTAACACGTCTGTGTTTTGGGGTAGAATTGGCTGTAACATCAAGATACAGCATACTGAAATGCCCAGCTATTATTCAAAGGGGAAAAACAAACAAATATATGTTTTTTTTTTAATTACTGTATATACTCGAGTATAAGCCGACCCGAATATAAGTCGAGGTACCTAATTTTAGCAGGAAAAAAAAAATGGGAAAATTTGATTCGAGTATAAGCCTAGGGTGGGAAACGCAGCAGCTACTGGTAAATTTAAAAATAAAAATAGATCCCAATAAAATTACATTAATTGAGGCATCAGTAGGTTAAATGTTTTTGAATATTTATTTACAGTATGTGTATATAATGAAGAGTGTGTATATATAATGAATGCAGTGTGTGTGTAGTGTATATAATGAACGCAGTGTGTGTGTAAATAATGAACGCAGTGTGTTTGTGTGTAAATAATGAACGCAGTGTGTGTGTGTAAATAATGAACGCAGTGTGTGTGTGTAAATAATGAACGCAGTGTGTGTGTGTAAATAATGAACGAAGTGTGTGTGTGTAAATAATGAACGCAGTGTGTGTGTGTAAATAATGAACGAAGTGTGTGTGTGTGTAAATAATGAACGAAGTGTGTGTGTGTAAATAATGAATGCAGTGTGTGTGTGTAAATAATGAACGCAGTGTGTGTGTAAATAATGAACGCAGTGTGTGTAAATAATGAACGCAGTGTGTGTAAATAATGAATGCAGAGTGTGTGTGTGTATATAATGAATGCAGAGTGTGTGTGTGTATATAATGAATGCAGAGTGTGTGTGTGTATATAATGAATGCAGAGTGTGTGTGTTTGTGTAGTTTGTGTGTATATAATGAATGCAGTTTGTGTGAATATGATGCAGAGTGTGTGTATATGATACAGAGTGTGTGTATATGATGCAGATTGTGTAAGTGTGTGTAAACTGGGTGGGGCGGAGGGCATTTTTAATATTATTATTTCAATATTTAATTTTTTTTAACTTTTTTTTGTCCCCCCTCCCTGCTTGTTACCTGGCCAGGGAGGGGGGATATGTTAATCCGTGGTGGTCCAGTGGTATGGGCTGGCCCGCTCTGACGGCTGCGGGTCTCGCGAGATTTACACTGGGGAGCTGCAGGAAAAGTAAGTAACAGCTTGCTGCCGCTCACTCACTCCTCCCCTCCTACTCCCCCCTGTAATGAACCCGGCGTTCCTGGTCTGTATTATGGCTACATTGCCATAATACAGACCCTGACTCATGTATAAGCCGAGGGGGACTTTTTCAGCACAAAAAATGTGCTCAAAAACTCGGCTTATACTCTAGTATATACGGTATATTATGGCAAGATAATTACTACAGCATGGAGTTCCTCTAATCTTATTCTACGTACAAACCTCATCTTCTCCTATTTCTTCAGTAAACCCAAATAGTAATAAAATCATCATTTAATATGTGTTTCAGACTGCAGATAACTTTGTAAATACCAGCATAAAACCTGTAAAAACTGGAAGATCCCTACCGGTTTCACGATCCATTTTTGCCTCGTGCCACCCTCCTCCCACGCTTTCTTTAACAGCTTGATATCCTGAGGTAGAACAAACGACTGGGGAAAAAAGTTGAACTCTTTTCTCCCGAAACGTGCTTGCATCTTCGACAGGTTGCGCCACAGGCGATCCTTCCGACCGATCTGGAATGTCCCTGGAAAATGGTTCAGCTGAAAGAACACAGATTTGTATTTAGCTTTTTCCTCAGATACCCCTCTTGCATTACAGTCTAGGATATTTTAAAAAACAAACAAACCACAAGGCACTAAGAACCACAAGCACTATGCTGCAACAGTAATGGTGGCAAAGGTCCACAGCACTGTCCCACTGTTAAAAGTCAAACTCTTTCCAATGGCTTGACAATTCCCTGTGCCCCCACTCTACTCTAAACCATGGGTCGTCAACCTGGTGGGCGGCGGTAGGGATTTTATAATTTTGAGAGACCGGGCGGGTGCGAGCCGGCGGTACCCCTACAACCGGGTACCGCCATCACCATTTGCTGCCCTGGCGGCCGCATATAGAGGGTTTCATCGGGTGGCCCATGCTGTCAGGGCCACTCGATGGCTGTGGATTGTAAGGGGGCCCGGTCAGCACTGGGCGCTTTAACAGCGCGACTGGACCCCCTGTGATTACATCACCGAGCTGGGAGGAAGTGACTGCACGTCACTCCTCCCAGCTAACAATGAGAGCTAACAACGGGAGGAAGACCAGGGAGTCAGAGTGGGAACCTCTGACTCCCATCCACCTGAGCTACCACTGGACCCCAGGGAAAGTCACCCTCCTGCACCGTAAAAGGTAGGAAACAGGAGGGTGACTAAAATATTTTGTGTGTGTTTGTTTGTGTATGCGTCTTTGTATGTATGTCTTGTGTCTGTATGTGTTGTGTGTGTATGTGCCTTTGTATGCGTGTCTGTTGTGTGTCTGTATGCATGTCTGTTGTGTGTCTCTATGCATGTGTCTGTGTATGTGTGTATGTGTGTATGTCTGTATGTGTGTATGTCTGTATGTGTGTATGTCTGTATGTGTGTATGTCTGTATGTGTGTATGTCTGTATGTGTGTATGTCTGTATGTGTGTATGTCTGTATGCCTGTCTGTTATAGTGGGCTATAGTAAGTAATAGTAAGCGGGCTGCATAGCTCAGCCTTCCTACTGGGCATTAGTATAAGGAAGGTTTAAAAAAAAAAAAGGGGGGGGGATGGGGAATTGAGCTGACACACAGATGAGAAATCGTATTATGCGCCAACAGAGAAGACCTTCGTTTGTTCCTTACGAAGATCAAGCCAGATATCAAATATTTAGTCTCGAAGCATCAACCTCAAGGATCTCATTAATCACTAGTAAAGGTAATTTGAATTTACTTTATGGTTTTCTCATTAAACTTTATAAAGTTAAAAACATTATAAACATGCATTAAGTAGAAATAAAAAGATAATGTACGTACATTTTTTTTAAAAAAACACTCCTTTCTAAAAAATATTCTGCACTTGTGGGCGGTAAGGAAATTTTTTCAACAAAAAAGATGCATTAGTGGGCGGTAGGTAGAAAAAGGTTGACTAACACTGCTCTAAACAGTTCAAAGAAAACAAACAACATATATTTGTTAATATTCTAGTTCTCTAAAGTTTTCTCCCTGGTTTATGAAAGGCAGAGACTAACCGCAAAATATTATTGGGTGCAGAAACAGGCAACCCATTAAAACGACCTTTATTGTGTCAACAGAGAAGTACGCAATGTAATCAAATTGTGAGAAATTAGGATAACACAATGTATAGTACAAACGTTATGGTATGTCAGACGCACTAACATATAACCTGTAACAGAAACGTACCTTCTGATGTGCTTGGATGGTCTTAAAAGCTGTAGATTTCATATGGTGACCCCAGCATCCAAGCCAATCATGATTTTCTACGATCAGAAAACAAGTTTGGAAAAATAATCATTTTACAGGTCAACAAGATCAATACTCAGCATTGCTAGAAAGTCATTCAAATGTGGGACTGGGACTATGCACATGCAGTATGAAGCAATAAAGCTGCAGTATATTCGAATAAAATGGGGTCAGAAAATATAAAAGCAGACAGGTATAGACTGGAAGAGATCCGGGGTGCTTTATTACCATTATCACCTATAGATCTGATATAGTTCGAGAAAACTTATTTACAGTGAGGGCAGGTGGTAGCTAAAATAGCCAATAAGTGGAGGGGAGACACGGTAAAGGAATGTGAGATGTAAATCCAGCTTGCTAAATGTGTTAGAACTATTTATTTAAAGGAACAGTGGAGCAGTTGATGAGGAATTGTGAGGCAAACATTTGGCTTCTCACTTTTGGTAACTCGGAAGTGGGATCTTGTAACAGCTATTTTCACGACATTAGGAGTCACTGTGCTCATTCGCCATTTCAGCAGCTTCCGTTGTGCCCATGGTAATCTCTGCACTGCAAAGAGAGGAGATCAAATCTTCTATACTGTGTAGACTAAAAGAATAATCTAGCAGAGAGACTCCAACACACACACACACACACACACACACTTGTGATTCTGTAACTGGCATCTGCTTACTTTATTTGCAATTTTTTAAAATTTAACCCTCATCTTCATTTGTTTTCATGAATAATATAGGGACATATTAATAAAATGATTTGTAAAGGGATGCTATTCCTAGTGCACTGTGGTTTGGTGGTGGCTGAAAGTGATGACATGATCTGGGCAATCTATCCGTATAGTGACTATTACAAACCATCAAAAGGAATATCCAGTACTTAATTTGGATTATTTTTGTTAATCTAACAAGGTGACAGACTTGTGGGCTCTGTGAAACAGATAGTGCTATTCTAAAACACTGAACATTTGTGTGGAGGGTTTGGACATCAATATTTACCAGAATGCAGCAAAATCCTGCTCAAATGTAATGGTTAGATCTTCCCACAAAACCAAAACATATTAGTGCATCACAGAGCAGCAGTGTACTGTAGAAAGATATTCCGTTTGACTGTTCCATTTAGTTTGCGTTCATTATCTGTATGCGCACGGTATCTGTGTTCTTTCAACATTAACTCTGGTATAGCATTAAGAATTCTTACTGGAAACAGAACTACATTTAGTCCAAACCAGCAGATGGAGCATATACTGCTCCCTTTCTAAACCTCCCTGTCCACGTTCAATGTGATTTGTAAATGGTACTTGTATTATTTAAATAGATTGAGATAATATAAAACAATAAAAGTATGCAACTCCTGACCTTTCTGAACCAACCTGTACCTTTCATTAAATATAATGCAAAGAAATCTGCTCTATATACATAATAAAACTTCTCAATAATTGAGATTGCAATTAAATTGGAGAACACAATATCGCGGTAGTGTCCTGTTAAAGTGTGTGCCACGGCACACAAAAATTGTAAAATATACATTTCTTGAGTGTAAACTTACCAGTTTCATCTTGAGTGCCAAAATATACGGTCTGTGGCATGTTGGGGAAGAGGCTATTGGTTAGAGCGGGTCTTACAACAGAACCTCCATTTACAGGAACATTCTCCGGACATTGCCTTTGAGAAAGAGCTGTATTTCAGTAACAAAGAAAACTTGGCTCACTGGACAAATATACTGGTACAAGCTGGGACATGCAAGGCACAAAATTGTTTATGTATGAAGAAGCACGTGCAGGTAATAATAATGGAAAACGAATCCAAGTTTAAGGCAATTTTTCCATAAAGAATACAATTCCTATCAGCATGAAACTACACATGGACTATACCTGGATACTGCAGAAAGCAATGTGTCCGAAGAGCTGTAGATCAATGAGCCATCAGGTGTGTCTGCAGTAAGAGGAATGAAGACGTATTTCAGGCGATTAGGATAACGCTCTGCCCTCTCAATCACTTGGCAAAATAACTATAGTATGGTCATGTTTCATACATGCTGCTCTCCCTGTCTGCTTTGTGCCCCATCACAAACCACTGCATTTAATGATTCTCTATGATAAGCACAGTGTGCAGAGGCCCCCGACCCCCAGGAGATCATTTTTACACGTATGGAGGGGCAGTACATTTAATACTCCAGCATTGAAAATATATGTATTTATTGAGAACAATGGAAAGTACCCATAAGAGCCTATTGGCAGATACTAAGGAGCTTGAAGTCTAATTAATAAAACACACAAGTGGGAGAAAAAAAAAAGGGAGGTCAAGTCTAAGTTTTCGATTCTACTTATCCAGAACGTGAGGTGGGGCAATTAAATACTAATTGGTACTCCTGCTTCACGGCAGCAAAAAGATTGAAACCATATACTTTATTTGAAGTAAAACTACCTCCATCTTCACCATCCTCATCTTCCATATCCTCTTCCTCCTCCTCCTCCTCTTCCTCCTGACGGTCATCCAAACCATCAGGCAGCTCTTCTTCGGCACCCTCCAGCTCACAATTTGGCAAAGGTTGTCTGTACGGGAAACCAATACAATACAGCATGTGGTCAGAATTATAAATCAACTGATTGCCTTAAAAAATGATATTGTCACAAGAATAAAATATTGTGTACAGCTTTTATAACTGCCATATCTTTGAAAATACTTACTCCAGTTTGTGTAAAACACTCTCAGACTGCACTGGAATTTCTGGGACCCTATGCGTTTTGTTCAGATGGATGGTAGAGATCTGTGTGGCCATCACGGTTATGGTCACTCCTTGAGATTTCTGAAGCATTGCAGGCTGATGGCTCTCTCTCTTCAAGGCAGGGGCACTAACTGTTTGACGGTGGATATTTGGATTAGAAACATTAGCATCAACAGCTAACTTGGCACAGTCAATGGCACCACTAGCAATATTTAAGCTACCATTCACGAAAGCCCCATCAGACACATAGGTACCAGGAATTAATTCTTTTTGGCTTCCTGAGCATAAGGGAGAGGTTACTTTATTGCAGTTGGCAAGAACACTGTCTTTACTGAAGGCCATATTAGAAGCTGCTTCAACGTGGGGAGCAATATTGCTTTTTAATACATTTCTGCTTTGTACTAAATTTTTCACAGCTTCAGTTAGATGAATTCTGTGTGGTAAAGTGTCCATTTTGCTACCATGTTCAAGTATCTCCCAGGCAGTTGGCTCCATTCGGCTTGATCCTTGGACGATATTGGGTGAAGTAGGAGGTTGGGGGAATTTCAGTGTTGTTGTGCAGTGGTGGGAGAGACACTGAATATTACCATTCAACTGGCCCAATTCTCCGGTCCCACCATTGTGCCAGGAAGAAGAATTAGTGCCAACAGGGCAGGTGTATGTCTTCTTGTTCCCTTGGTGTGGATGCAAAGGCACTTTAGCACTACTGGGACGCAGGAATGAGTTTGTATTCAGAGATGGTCTTGTAGATTCACAAGGCAGCTTTGGAACAACACTTGATGGTCTCCTTGGACTTAATTCCAGTTGATCTCCAGTTGCACTTGGCAAAAGGAATTGATCCATCAATGAGGTGGTCATGGCACCAGTCGTACCAAAATAACTAGCAGGTGTAGAATGTGGGTATCTGATTGGAGAAGAAGTAGAGTAAGGCCTCTGGTCAACACTCTTTGGCCTCAAACACAATGATTCAAGCTTCTGATATGGTTTATGGCCACTCACTGGTCGCTGGAAAACAAACGTCCTTTCAGGAAGATTACGTGATGATTTTGTATTGTGTGCCGTGAGTAAAGGAGATGATGGGGAAGTAGAAGGTGCAGTGTTATGGCAATCAAAGCACAGATGGTATGCATTAGATCCTACTGGTTTTTTTTGGAGAGCGTGTATGGCATCGCTACACTTTTTCTCCAAGCTCCAAATCTGAGGGGATTGGTAGACACGAATCCTACTTTTCACTTCCGTGGGTTGAGGAGGCATCAACAGCTTCTGATTTTTACATCCCCCGCACCTACTGTACAGGTCAGGCTCTACAGATGCCATGAAGTTCCATTTCACCTGGTTCTCCCCAGTGAAGAATTAAACACAGTGGTTTGGAGAGGGCTGCTGGACATCATTTACGATGTTTAACGAACCTAAAAAGGAAAAGAAAATGGAAAATTATCTAGCAAATGCAAAATTTACCTATAAAACAAATTAACAAAAACCCATAATTTGTTGAGTTTTGAATCTGCAGAACATAAAGCTACACATTCCTCCTAAATCATTAGAATCAGCACTTTAATGAGAGAACAGTCACCCGAGATTTCAGAACAACCAAGTAACTAGATATGTCAGCAGCCAGAATAAAGTGTGCATTTTACGCTTCCATTGGCTGCTCATATCCTCCAGTTAAAGCCACAAGCTGAGCTGATGTCAATTTATCTTTAAATAAACAATGAGCAGACAATGTTACAAAGTTGTAGATGTTGGGGAGTAAAATAAGTAAATAAAAAAGACCCATTAAGTTCAACTTTGAAACCCATCCTTTTATGATGTTGACCCCCCAAAAATATATATATATATTTTTTTAAATAATCCATTCTTAGCCATTTCCAATTATGCCACAAAAAAAGGCGAAATAATTCCTTTATTTAAAAAGAAAAGTTGTAAAGGCAGAATCCAGAGAATAATGCAGAAATGTCTTGTCTTGCTCAACTGAAAGCCCAGTTTGGAACATGATCACTATGCAATAAACAGGGCAAAGGACAGAGAATAACAGAAGCTTGGCTCAATTTAATAGCAATAAGGAAACTGCCAAACCCAAGGAAGCTATAACTAAACTATTGTGATGGAATCTACAGCCATTGCTACCGTTCAAGAGTAGTGGGAGTTTGAGGCAAAGGTTTAATTGTGTGTGTTGTTTTACACAGCCATGTTACAGTACTGTCCCTAACACCATGTGTGTTCTGTAAGAGCCTGGTAAGTATTTAGAGCTTCATAACAATACCCCTTTCTGTCTCAGAGATTTTGCCTTTTAGTGTAGTACTCACATAAGAAGTATGCCCAACGGCCATTGGAGTGATAGTAAAAACCTCCAGTTATTTAAATGTGCAGAGGGATTTGGGATAGTGCCATTTGGGATATTTTAAAAAAAAATTAAGTTCTCACAAACATGTACCAAAAGGTATGGAATACGTAAATCTAATGTTAAAAATCCTGCGGGGAAAAAAAAAAAAAATGATGATTTAAAAAAGTACTGTTATGTTTGACAGATCTTCAAGGAATCAGATTACAAATTATCTTTCTTCCAAAATTCAATTTAACTGAAGCCCTGCATTCTGGGATGTCATGTGCGATTAGACTATAATGAATTTATATTGGGATTTTATGTAGGTTGAGGCTTCAGAAGCCAGAGAAAATCCACCAGGATCATACTATGAGCACATTTTACAGGCTATTTATTCTTTATAAAGTGCCAACACATTCCGGAGCGCTGTACAATTGGGTAAAAGACAATACAACAAAACAGACAAATAAAAAAAGGTAGGTCCCTGTCTGTGAGCTTACAATCTAAGGAGACGAATACAGTTGAAGTTCCGGCATTTATAACAAGATTCAGCAAACAAACCAGGTGAAGAAAATACTAAACAGCCATTGGAATATTCTTAACGGTGACCAGATTCTCAGAAAGAGGTTAGGTAGACTAAGAATTATATATTCAAAGACTCCAATTCACTAAACCATGTTGGCTCTAACTATAAAGGGCCCCAAGAGCACCAAGGAGGATAATAGCAAGAGAGGGTTCTTTAATTGTGGGAGTTGCTATGGATGCCGGAACAACAGGACACAAGAATCCGGCATCACAAGCATCTCCCATACGACAAGCAAGGAGGAATTTGATATCAAATACGGGCATTGTATATAAAGTGCAAAACATTCCTTAAAGTGCTTAGCGCCAAATCACCATAAATATATAACTCAATACACTAAAGTACATAGATGTCAGTAATCTGTGTAGCAGAGTTCCTAAAGTATACTCTAAGTGTCAATGATCTGTCCCAATCCTGAATGTATGGTGGTGGATCCAATAGAGAAAAAATGGACAAAGGTGGAGAGAGAGAAAAAAAACAAGCAAACAGCGCAGGAGATGGTGCTAAAAGGGGAAAGTAAAAAAAAAAAAATAGAAAATATTACTTCGATTAAGAATGCATGAATTCCCACCCAAGAGTTCCAGAATGTGCATGAACGCCTATATCCAGCATACACAGACACAAGTACATACGATATACAGATAAATACAATGTACATATATATAGGTCTGTATATGTACATGTATTAGTGCCTGTGCGTGTATGTATGTATAGGTGTGCACGTACTTATATTTGTCCAACGAATAGATCTGCTACCAGAAAGACTGCTTGCTGCATCACTATTACACCATATCCTTAGGCGGGGATTATTCAAGTTGGAGATGAATTGAAGCTCCAGAAAAGTGTAAGTGCTCATCTTGCTGATTACATCTCTCCAAACAATATAAAAATATACTACACTATCAGCTCGTTTCTTCTTTTTGTCTGTCTTCTATTTTTTGCATATACATCTGAGGAATTACAAAAGATAACACCACCACCAACCCATCCGCTATATTTGACTTGGACTTGTACCAGATTAGATGTTAGGCTGCCCCAATGAAATGTACCAGTATCTACAAGCACTGAATTATCTCTTCCTTTTTATATTTTGTGCTTTTTACAATCTAAAAGTTAAAATGGGGAGATGAGACAAGAGGTAGCAGAGGAAGTTGTAGATGATGATAAAGCGAATCAATCCGTAACTGATAACAAGTGAAATGAGAAGGTGATTGACTGATTCCAAACAGCTGGAAGAGCATGCTATACAGGTAGAAAGAACCAGGTGGGCTGGTGCCGGGCAATGTAGAAATGAAGTTGCTTCCTTGCAGATGGGTTGTGCACTTGTGCCAGAGTTGTTGTTCATAATAGGGCAAACCTTAAATAAACAGATGAGTCAATTAGTTAGTCAGTGCTGGTAAAATGATTCAACCACTTGCCACGAATCACTAACTACTCTGGCAGCTAAAGAGTTAATTGTTTACTGATGTAATGGCTAACTGGACTTAACTAGCACGTGTAACAAAAGAACAGAATTTAAAAAATGTGTTTTATTTGAGGTTTTCAGTACTGAAGAAAGGCAAGCTCTGCATTAATAGCATGACGTGCTATACTGAGTCAGCATACTTGCTCATTCACAGCACCGCAGGCATCGGGCCAACAATGAGAATTTCTCAGAGATCTGCATCAGGCAAATTCCTGTAACTGCAATAGCCACTTAGAATCCCTCTGCAGCTGTGGTTACAAAGATCTAAATGGAGAAGGAGGCAATTCTTTATGGATTAAGGATTTAGAAAAGCTTAGGTGTCTATCGCACTTGTTTAACCAGCTTTACTATAGGAAAACACACGGCCCATGTGCAAACCACTCGTAAAGACAAGATCGAGAAGCATTTGGGTTATGAGCACAGAGCATGAAGAATGTTGCAACGCATAAGAACAAGAATGAGAAGCAAAACACAAAGGCTATATTCATTAAACCTGGAGTTGGGAAACCAGAAAGGATATTTCTGCAGCTCAACTAGAGTTTTGGAGTCTCCTGGCCTACACCTTGCAATTCCCATAATTCCTGGTTTAGTAAGGAAACTCACAAAAACAATAATTCATCCATTATTGGATAGAAAGACAGGTTTTGATTGCTATCTTACTCTACAGTGGAAGTGTCTCTCTCTCCATTTGAGATGTTGGAAGATATTAACACGGAACAATTAGCAGTAAAAATTCACTGTTTAGAATAAGGATGATATAAATTTTAATAATGTACTGTGTGGGTCCTGAGACAAACACATGAGGAACTAAAAACATGCGAACCGAAGAATTGATACATCAGCTTTGATAAGCAGCACTGCCAATTTATAGTTTTTCAGGACAGAATCTTTCTTTAAAACAAAACAAGGTCAACTTCTCTCACCACATCTTGCCATTTCTTGCACACCTGTGAGCGTGCATCACTGACGGGACAATCACTAGTGTAGACAACTGGAGCCAAAGAGACATCAGTGTAAGATATGGTAGCATGGAGGGCGCAGATCATCAGGTAAGAATACTGTCCTAAATACGCCCCAGGGTACCAGAATACAGCAAAATAGCTCCAAAGGTTCCACAAGTGAGAATTCCACCTTAAACGTTCACAGAAATAAGGCACCAAAAGAACTCTTCAGATTCCATGCGGACTAGATGGAAAAAGCGATGAGGCAAGTTCTACACATAAGAGCAATAGCAAGTTCCAGCCCAATGGTTTACAATACCTCTCCACTACTGACAGCATTCTTCCTTAACAAAATATCAAGCTTCATGTGAGAGATTTAACTAGAAAAGGTCTGATTCAATGTAAAGTGTGAATATTCATTTCCCAGAGCATGCACAGGCTGCATACATTTATAAAATTACTTCTTTTAGTCTGAAGTACAAGCAGCCAAGAGGAAGATCCCGGCTTCTACTGAACTATAAATCCCACGATGCTTTGCCATATGTTAGATTGACAAAGTTCATTGAGAAATTAAGAACGGCTGGGGATTCACATTTTGGCCTAGGCACAAAGATGTTCATATGAGTCAGAACACCAAGTTCTGATTTGCTTATCTCTTAATTACTGTGAATACAGACGGAACACTCCCTCCCAGACAGTTAAAATGTGGAATAATATTTGCATTAGATATCTTATCTGCGGGATATGTATGAACTAGTTTCCCCAGCTGCCCATGGCACCTGAACAATGACATACAGTTCTATCCACAACAGCCCATTGAAGAATTCTCAGCCAAGCCTGCACACCTCTTTCCTCTCCCTCTAGTGAACCACTCTGCAGCCAGATGGGAAGATGAGGGTTAAATACCAAGGATACCGCAATCTAAATTCAGAAGTCTGACGTATGGAGTCCAGGCACACTTGGAAAGTTAAAAAAGATGCATCTATTCACATAACACTATGCACTACAGTTTCTGACTGAGTGATAATACAGTTATTCATTCATAGGCAGCTCACGATTAACAAACATTATATGCAGAGTATATGCAGAGTAATGACTAATTTAACAATTATACAAAACAATTCTTTTCTCAACAGACAAAAACTCCTCTGTGCACTATAACAAATTCTAGTGCATAATTATGACTAGCTTTTCAGCCACGTGAATGAAAACGAGATGTCAGCTTGCTAGTCTCACCACGTTGTCGGTATGGCTAGTCTCACCTTATCATTCGTCTCACCACGTTGGCAGTATGGCTAGTCTCACCACGTTGGCAGTATGGCTAGTCTCACCTTATCGTTCGTCTCACCACGTTGGCAGTATGGCTAGTCTCACCTTATCGTTCGTCTCACCACGTTGGCAGTATGGCTAGTCTCACCTTTTCGGTCGTGTGGCTAGTCTCACCGTTGCTGATGTCAAGGCAATTCTTTTTGAGGAGTCCTATGCTTATGAATATGTAAAAGAAAACTCGAGATTTACAAAGCAATCCATGGATTTACTGAAGGTCCCCTCTTTCTTACTGTATGGAAGTGCTGTTTTTTTTGAAGAAATTTGGACTTTTATAAGGCTTCAAGTTCAACCCCCCACCTGCCAGAAAACCAATGTTTTTTCTCATTCTATGAGCGCATGCTCAAAGCCAACACAGTGTTTTTTGTAGAGAAGAATCAGACTCAATGATTCTCTATGAAGCGTATTTTATTGCTGCAGCATGACATGGTATCTTAGTTACTGCGCCGTGCATTCAGTACAAAGACTTTTTGGATCCTGAGATGTGAAAAAATGTAAAAACAACTAAAAATATGATGAAAATTTATAGAGAATATAATAGGGACTTTTCGTTTCTTTTATGAAAGAAGATACTTGATATTTAAACAGCTAAATCTGTACTTTATGTGACTAGCTATATGGCCGACACGGTGAGACCAACCATACGGTGACAATAGACATATGGCCTACACTGTGAGACCAACGAAACGGCGAGACTAGCCACACTGCCCACAGGGTGAAACCAACGATGCGGTGGGACCAGCCACGCGGCAGACGCGATGAGACTAACGATACGCCAAGACTAGAGATACTGTTAGACTAATGATACGCCCGATGCGGTGAGACCTACAATGCGCCTAATACGGTAAGATTAACGATTGGTTGACACTAGCGATACGGCCAGACTAACGATACGCCCGATACAGTGAGACTAATGATTGGGTAACACTAGCGATACGCTGGATACGGTGAGACATACAATACGGTGAGACTAGCGATACTGCCCCGTCACTCATTGGGTAGTAATGGTAGTAATGGTGGTGGTGACAGTAGTGATGGTAGTAATAGTAGTGCTGGTAGTAGTGGTGACAGTAGTGATAGTAATGGTAGTGCTGGTAGTGAAAGTAGTGATGGTAGTGATGATGGCTGTGACAGTAGTGACAGTGGTGATGGTAGTGATGATGGCTGTGACAGTAGTGCTGGTGGTGATAGTAGTGATGATGGCTGTGACAGTAGTGCTGGTGGTGATAGTGACGGCTGTGACAGTAGTGCTGGTGGTGATAGTAGTGATGATGGCTGTGACAGTAGTAGTGCTGGTGGTGATGGTAGTGATGATGGCTGTGACAGTAGTGCTGGTGGTGATGGTAGTGATGATGGCTGTGACAGTAGTGATGTAGTGATGATGGTAGTGACAGTAGTGATGGTAGTGCTGGTGGTGATGGTGGTGATGATGGCTGTGACAGTAGTGCTGGTGGTGATGGTGGTGATGATGGCTGTGACAGTAGTGCTGGTGGTGATGGTAGTGATGATGGCTGTGAGTAGTGCTGGTGGTGATGATGGCTAGTAGTGCTGGTAGTGATGATGGTAGTGCTGGTGGTGGGTGATGGTGATGATGGCCGTGACAGAGTGCTGGTAGTGACGGTGGCTGTGACTGGTGGTGATGGTAGTGATGATGGCTGTGAAAGTAGTGCTGGTGGTGATGATGGCTGCGAAAGTAGTGCTGGTAGTGATGATGGCTGTGACAGTAGTGCTGGTGGTGGTAGTGATGATGGCTGTGACAGTATTGCTGGTGGTGATGATGGCTGTGACAGTAGTGATGGTAGTGACAGTAGTGCTGGTGGTGATGGTAGTGATGCTGGCTGTGACAATAGTGATAGTGCTGGTGGTGATGGTAGTGATGATGGCTGTGACAGTAGTGATAGTGCTGGTAGTGATGATGGCTGTGACAGTAGTGATAGTGCTGGTAGTGATGATGGCTGTGACAGTAGTGATAGTGCTGGTAGTGATGATGGCTGTGACAGTAGTGATGGTAGTGCTGGTGATAGTAGTCGTAATAGTAGTGACAGTAATAGTAGTGACAGTAGTAATAGTAAAAGTAGTGATAGTAGTGACAATAATAGTAGTAGTAGTGATAGTAGTGACGGTAGTGCCAGTAATAGTGTGATAGTAGTGATGGTGATAGTAGTGACATAAAGTATTAGTAATAGTAGTGATGGTAGTGACAATAATAATAGTGATAGTGACAGTAGTGATAGTGACAGTAATAGTAGTGACGGTGATAGTGATGGTGGTATTAGTGATAGTAGTGAGTGACAGTAATAGTAGTGATAGTAGTGACAGCGACAGTAACAGTTGTGATGGTAGTGACAGTGATAGTAGTGACAGCGACAGTAACAGTTGTGATGGTAGTGACAGTAATAGTAGTGATGGTGATAGTGATAGTAGTGACAGCGACAGTAACAGTTGTGATGGTAGTGACAGTAATAGTAGTGACGGTGATAGTGATAATAGTGACGGTAGTGATAGCAATAATAGTGATAGTGACAGTAATAATAGTGATAGTGATGATAGTGATAGTAACGGTGGTAGTAGTGATAGTGATGATGGCTGTGACTGTAGTGATGGCTGTGATGGTAGTGATAGTGACAGTGATAATAGTGACAGTGCTGGTAGACAGTGACAATAGTGATAGTGATAATAGTGACAGTGCTGGTAGACAGTGACAATAGTGATAGTGATAATAGTGACAGTGCTGGTAGACAGTGATAATAGTGACAGTGATAATAGTGACAGTAGTGGCAGTGCTGGTAGACAGTGATAGTAGTGACGGTGACAGTGGTGATAGTGATAATAGTGATAATAGTGAAAGTGATAATAGTGACAGCAGTGATAGTGATAATAGTGACAGTAGTGATAGTGGTGATAATAGTGACAGTAGTGATAGTGATAATAGTGACAGTAGTGATAGTGATAATAGTGACGGTAGTGGCAGTGCTGGTAGACAGTGATAGTGATAGTAGTGACAGTGATAATAGTGACAGTAGTGATAGTGATAATAGTGACAGTGCTGGTAGACAGTGATAGTAGTGACGGTGACAGTAGTGATAGTGACAGTAGTGATCATAGTGACAGTAGTGATCATAGTGACAGTAGTGATAATAGTGACAGTAGTGATAATAGTGGCAGTAGTGATAATAGTGACAGTAGTGATAATAGTGGCAGTAGTGATAATAGTGGCAGTGCTGGTAGCCAGTGAGTGACTGTAAGGACACTCCGCTTACTCTCAACGCTGTGAGTGCGAGCTCAGTCAGTACCGCGTGTCCCACTCACCCTCCAAGCTGGCGCCGTCCCGGGCCCCCCGGCTGCCGCCCCTCGCTCTGCATCCGCTCCCGGCTTGGCGGCCTCACTTCTCCTAGCAACCACGCAGCCCTCGGACTCGGCGCATAGCGTCACTTCCGCCTCTCAACCCGCCAACCAATCACCAACCGCTGCGCTCAGGGGCGTGTCTGCGAGTCAGCGTCTGTCCGCCATGTTTGTACACCCACCGTGACCAACTGCGTAAGCGTGAGTCAACCAGCCGCAGATCATCGAGTTCTAAACCCCGGAGCAAGCAATGACGGGAGGACCACAAATTGTCTCCAGCAGCAGAGTATTAAAGCACTGTTGGCGGCCATGTTTCTGAAGCACAAACTAATGTATAGAAAGGAGGGAGTCTCCGGTAAGATGGCTCCTGTAATGGAGACACAGCGCTAGCACTCTATCCTCACACTGCCAGCATGGTACCCTAGCCTCCCATTGTGGAGTCTGGCTCTCTCCACGTGGGAGCAGCTTTATATCTTCAATAATTAATAAAACTTTTATAAATATACACTGCTCCCAAATATATTATATTATATTATATACACTGCTCACACACCCAGATATTATAAAGATAAATTATATTATATATACACTGCTCACACACCCAGATATTATAAAGATAAATTATATTATATATACACTGCTCACACACCCAGATATTATAAAGATAAATTATATTATATATTATATATACACTGCTCCCAAACCCAGATATTATAAAGATAAATTATATTATATATTATATATACACTGGTCACAAACCCAGATATTATAAAGATAAATTATATTATATATTATATATACACTGCTCACAAACCCAGATATTATAAAGATAAATTATATTATATATTATATATACACTGGTCACAAACCCAGATATTATAAAGATAAATTATATTATATATTATATATACACTGGTCACAAACCCAGATATTATAAAGATAAATTATATTATATATTATATATACACTGCTCACACACCCAGATATTCTAAATATAAATTATATTATATATTATATATACACTGCTCACACACCCAGATATTATAAAGATAAATTATATTATATATACACTGCTCACACACCCAGATATTCTAAAGATAAATTATATTATATATTATATATACACTGCTCCCAAACCCAGATATTATAAAGATAAATTATATTATATATACACTGCTCCCAAACCCAGATATTATAAAGATAAATTATATATTATATATACACTGCTCACACACCCAGATATTATAAAGATAAATTATATTATATACACTGCTCACAAACCCAGATATTATAAAGATAAATTATATTATATATTATATATACACTGCTCACAAACCCAGATATTATAAAGATATATTATATTATATATACACTGCTCCCAAACTCAGATATTATAAAGATATATTATATTATATATTATATATACACTGCTCCCAAACCCAGATATTATAAAGATAAATTATATTATATATACACTGCTCACAAACCCAGATATTATAAAGATAAATTATATTATATATTATATATACACTGCTCCCAAACCCAGATATTATAAAGATAAATTATATTATATATTATATATACACTGCTCCCAAACCCAGATATTATAAATATAAATTATATTATATATTATATATACACTGCTCACAAACCCAGATATTATAAAGATAAGTTATATTATATATACACTGCTCCCAAACCCAGATATTATAAAGATAAATTATATTATATATTATATATACACTGCTCACACACCCAGATATTATAAAGATAAATTATATTATATATACACTGGTCACAAACCCAGATATTATAAAGATAAATTATATTATATATACACTGCTCACAAACCCATGCACATATATTGAAAGATAAATTATATTTATATATTATATATACACTGGTCTAACAGAACATGAAATGTGTATCTTGTAATACCTTTTTTATTGGACTAACAGAATTTGTAATGACAAGTGGGCAAGCGTTCGGGAGAACCTCACTTTCTCAAGTCTGAAGCATTTCTGAGCAAAGAAGACACATAGAATTCAAAGTCGAGTTGTGATACAGGGGTTAAAGCGAAATGAGTGCAGATAAGACTAATTTGATAGAAAATAGACTCACAGAGGGTCGTAAATATCTTGTGTAAAGATCACAGAGTGAATGGGGAGAGAGAGAAAAACAAAGCAAAGAGTGCAGAAGATGGTGCTAGAAGGGGAGAGTACAAAAATAATTATTTAGATTAAGAATGGATGAATTCACATCTAAGAGTTCCAGAAAATGCATTAAGGCACGCATACAAGTACATACACTGATATACATCTAAATACAACCAAATGTACAAATATCTGTACATGCACACCTATACGTACATCAACGCACAAGCACCAATTCGTACACTTACACGTGTACAAATGTGCATACACATACACAGCAGTGTTATTTTAGCGGCAAATTTTCATTTAGTTTTCGTCAGTCTTTTGACTAACAAGCCATTCTAGTTTTAATTGACACAACTAAAATCTAATGGGTATAATTAAAGCCTCTGTTTGTTTTGCCCCTTCCCCAGGGGAAAAAGACAGGTGGATAATCTGTAGGAAGCATTTATCATATATAATATTCCAGTAATCTCACACACAATCTTACATACATTGTGTGTGTGATTAACGGATATTGTATATGATTTGCGGGTGTCTGGAAGCCCCTGTGATACCAGGTGGCTGGGCAGAAGTCACAGAGGCTGGAGGCAGCACCACCCCTGGCAGCATGGAGGCAGAAAAAAAAAAAAGACGCTGAAGTGAGCTCATACATGCTCACTCCCATCAGCCTCAGCCAGGACTCCAAGCAAGTCACCCTCCAGGAGACAAAAGGTAAACTAACAGGAGGGTAGCTGCAAATCAAATTATTATAACGTGTCTGTGTGGGTATGTGCCAGTGTGAGTATCTGTATATGTGTCTGTGTACTAGTGTGAGTATATAAGTCTGTATGTGCAAGTGTGGATATCTGTATGTGGCAGTATGTGTATATGTGTCTGTGTGTATATCTGTGTGTCAAGGTGTGTAAATAGTTTTAATATGTAGCTAAATAAGTGTACATGTATATATAATATATACATATGATATATCTATGTATGAGTGTGTGTGTGTGTATATATATATATATATATATATATATATATATATATATATATATATATATATATACACACACACACTTTGTGTCTTGATGAAAGCTCCGATCGGGAGCTGAAATGTTGACATCTTTTGGATCAACTGTGAATTAAAGCAGATGAACTAATCCTAGAGTGCCGGTATTTTTTTCATATTTTATATCGCTTGGGACTTGGCACCAGGTATTCAATATATTTAAAGTTGGAGTGCAAGAGGTCTTCAATTTGCTTTGCTATATATACACACATCTGTGTATGTATGCTGTGTGCAAGATGTCATCCAAGGACGCGCTTGTAGACAGCCTCTAGAAGCAGTCGTAATTCTGCAATATAAACATTGCAGTTTCTCTGAATCTGCAGTGTTTTACATTGCAGGGTTAATGAGACAGGAACAAGGCACCCAGTCCACTTTATTGGGTGCCTATAGTGTCCCTTTAAAAAGAATTCCAAGTGTAGCACTGTAGATGGAATGCTCAAGTGCAAGGCATATCTCCGTAGAGAGCCCAATACATCACAGGGCAGGGACATCACCCTAAACAGTAAAGTGCAGTGGATGCAAGCAAGTTTTTCCGCTACATTACTGAAACTCTTAAAGGGACACTGTAAGTAGGCACCATAACTTTAAGTGGAGTATTTATAGTACCTGGATTCCCAAGATTCAACATTGGCCTCCTCACCATTCAGCAGTGATGCTAAAGGGACACTATAGTCACCAGAACAACTGCAGCTTATTGAATTTGTTCTGGTGAGTAGAATCATTACCTTCAGGCTTTTTGCTGTAAACACTGTCTTTTCAGAGAAAATGCAGTGTTTACATCACAGCCTAGTGATAACTTCACTGGCCACTCCTTAGATGGCTGTAAGAGATCCTTCCTGGGTCATGGCTGCCTGTTTACATTGCAGCTCTAAGTCTGCCTTCTATGGTTGTCTATCAGACAGCCACTAGGGGGCTGCCGGAATCCAAACCTACTCTTGGTCAGTTATCTGACATTGGATGTCCTCATGGACCTCCAGCGTCAGATTTTCACCATAGGAAAGCATTGAATAATGCTTTCCTATGGTGAAGTAAAATGCGTGGGGCCATTGACACGCATGCGCATTAGGTCTCCCCCGCCAGCTGACGGCGGCGGTGGAGCCTAACCCAGCGCCGAGGGACATCGGCACTGGATTCCGGTAAGTAGCTGAAGGTGTTTTAATCCCTTTGGTGACATGGGATGGGGGGCACTGCAGGATCTGCAGTGCCAGGAAAACAGGTTTGTTTTCCTGGCACTGGAGAATCCCTTTAAATGCATTTAATGTTCCCTCCCCTTTACCAACTAGAACCGCGTCTGTATTCCAGCAAATTAAAGACACCAAAACTAAAATGATAGCAGGAAAATAAAGGGAAAAAAGTGTTTATTTCAGTACATTTTATGTTGTCTATTTCCTACAAAAATAGAACCCCAACCCCCAAAAAAAAGGTGTTTAACCCTTTGCAGTACCAGATGAGTGCCCAAAACATTGCTTGTAATTCTAGAATTTTAAAATTATGTTTGATGGTGTTTGAATAAAAAAGCAGCTATTAATGTATCAGCAAGTATAAAATGCATATACACTAAAGTTATTGGGAACAAAGTTTCTCTCGGAGCCTATTAGTTACACAGCATTATTTTATTTATTTTTGGCATTTATATGGCGCCAACTTATTTTACAGCGCTTTACAATTTTATAAAATTGAGAAATTTAACAAGAAATTAGAACAAAACGTTAATGAGGACCCTGCTCGAACGAGCTTACACTCTCGAGGAGGTGGGGTGTTAAAAACACAATATGAAGGGCATCGAAGGGGATAGCAACTAAAACGGCATTCAATAGGAAACAGGTCAGTGAATACAAAACATGCTCTGGACTTTCTTATATTGTGATCAACTAGAAGATATCGGTATATTTTAGGGACCATATCCGTGCCTAGTGTTATTCTATAAACCTGGTTATAAAGTTGTATATCAGGAGTGGACAAACAGCAGGTCCCAGGTGTAGATTGTGTGATGGTTGGAATGTCTATGCACAAATTATAGAGCTTCTACTTGAGTTTTGTGATAGATCACACCACTTAGTAAATTATCCCATTAACAACGATAATTCATTGTTTGGAATAATGCTTCACACAAAACCTAGCATACTCGGTACAGGATTCAGGAGCTTAGACTGCAGAACTGACCAATGCTTAGATCTTGTTCTGTTTCTCATACTTCCCCCCCCAGTT